TTATCATATAAGTAAATGGTAATTTTTTTTAACAGGTTCAAAATAAGCAACCACCATTTTTTTTGAATCACACTGTATAATTACCTTCAAGTTGGTGATCAACTTTGTCATTTACATTATTTATCAATTGTGGTGCCAGTTAGAGGTGGAAAAAATGCTGTTAAAAAGTAAAGATCAGGAGAATTTGGAGAAATTCATATTGTTGAAAATGATTACATGGAAGTTGAATTATCTCATATTTTGGAAAATTCAACTGATGATATTGATGTAAATTTTGATTATTGGTCAGATATAAATATCAATTACCATGAGGATGGAAAAAAGTCTTTATCAAAAGAAAGTTTTGATATCTTATTAATAAAATAAAAGGAATGCAAAAAAAATTAAATGAATATGAAAAAAATACAAAAAACACTTCAATGAATTTGGTGAAAGAATTGAATTGTTGTCACAAATCTTATATAAAAGACAAAGACAATTAAATTTAGATATTGAGTTAAACCCTCAAAACTTTAAGGATATGATTGAACAACATGAACCAAAATTAAAAGGTTTTTTTGATGAATTAGTAGTCTATATTTTTTTACCAATTAATAGATCTGCATATAATATAGAAAATGCAAAAAGGTCACTTGTTGGGTTTTGTTATTTGTTGACTGGTCTAAGAAATAAATTCAATAATTCTCTTCAATTAGAAATTGGTTTTTACCTATTTTCATGTGGTGCAACTGCAGAGTGTATTGATGTAATGGCAAGAGTTGGCATTTCTGTATCTTATAAAACAGTGGATAGATATAAAAAATCAATTGCAAATGACCATCCAAAAAAAAATAAATCAGTATTTTGAAGAAAATAAAGACAAATTATTTTGTGCCAACCTTGATGATTATCATGCAATTCATAGTTTTAGGCAACCAAACACAACAACACTTTCAACAGCTCATCATATGGCTACTTGTGCTTCTAAAACTATAAAAGATAGCATAGCTATATCAGCAGATGGTAATGGTGTTCCAATACATAATCCTGAAAATATTGAAGCAAAGAGAATTATTAAATATTTGAAGGATAAATATATCAATTCATTAAGTAATAGTTACAATCTTGTAAAATCAAGCTGGTTGGAAAATAATGTGAATACCTTTAAACATTTTGATAGACTAGAGCTCTTGTTAATTCATTCATATGATGATGCTATAAAAGAATGTCAATATGATAGATCTATGATGGAATGTCACTTAGTTAATATAAAGGAACAAAACCTTAAAAGTTTAGATGATTATTTAAAGGCTCTTAAGATGATTACAGACATACATTCATTGTATAATTACCTCCTATATAATGTTATGCCAATTGTTGCTGATTTTCCAGGTCAATTATTTATAAGACAAGCAATAACATTGCTAATACAGATACCTGAAATTGTTAACAATTTTATCCCAATTCTTGGTCCATTGCATATATCACTGGAGTTTCTTTGAAAAAATGTTTAAATCAGTTTTTGGTAATGACAAAAAATTGGCAAAGAAACCAAAACCTACCAGAATAAATGTGCTCTTAGGACTTGCCAGCTCAGGTTGGAAAGAAATTGCAAAAGAAATATTTCAAAAATTTGGCCCACTTTGTAAAGATATGGAATTTCAAACATTAATAGATCTCTTGGATAATTTAATACCTGCTGCTCTAGATATCTACAGTATAATCCTTTGCTCAGGCTCTTGTGATCAATATATAGATACAATTTTCAGGTTATGGACATTTGCCTTAAGATGGGAGAGATAAAACTCCATTAGCCTTCCTTTCTGATTATTTTTATTGGAAAGACAATAATCATCCATTTTTTGGAGCAATTCAATCTCACCTTGTCAATTTCAATGACTATTATGTTGACAGCTGGCATAGCAGAATTAGAAGAAGCGCAACTCCACATCATTCTTCTGATGCAATAATTTCTCAAGCTCTTATGTTAGATTCAAATGAACAGACTTTTTTTAATTCATTTAGAAAATTTAAGTCATTCATATAATGAAACTACCCTAGATTATTTAAAATATAAAACAAGTTTATTTTTAATTGATTATTTTCATCAAATTTACCAAAATTTGGGAAAAAGTGAAAAGATAAAAAAGAATGAATATAAATTTGCAACATTAAACAAAAAAGTTAAATTAAAATGTCTGCCAGCTGGATACCATACCTCTAAACCACCATCCAATAATATTTGTGATCATTGTAATCAAAGATTTGAAGTTCAAGATGAAGAAGAAGACGTAATGTTAATATGTGGTCATGCTCATCATTAAACATGTTAGCCGAAATTGCCTTTCTTAGTAAATGATCATTGCTGAATCCAAAATGCCAAATAGTTTTTCATAGATGCTGAAATTGATTTTATTAGTTGCTGAAATTATGTCTGAAATTATTTGGACACTTTAACTAATAGCCGAAAATTCTGGGTAGTTTTTTTATGACTATTGATATGAAGAATATTGTAAATCCGAAATTGCTTGCCGAAATTGATTTTTTCAAAATCCATTTTGGCTAACATCCTTACTCATCATCATAAATGTTTTGGAGAAAAATAATCAATGTAGTTATTGTTTGGAATTTTATGAAAAAGGTATCATCTATAATGTAAAGTCATATATAAATAGATTAGAAAAATAAATCCTATTAATGATAATTTATTACATGATGAAATACCAATGAAGAAGAAGAGGAAGAAGATTTTAACATTTTCGTTTACTATGTACTTAAGTACATTTAAGTATCTAAACTTTGTGTAGGGCAAATAATAATGAAAAATTTTTTTTTACATTTTCACTTGGTAACAATTATAATAATCATCAAAAAGAATATGAATTAGAAGAGTATCTTAGAAAACCTCCATTAAATCCTCAAACAGTTCCACTACAATGGTAGAAGGTAATAAATTAATTAATATCTAATATATTTATTTTTCAACGTTAATTATTATTTTCATTACCAAACCTTTCTAAGATGACACATGACTATTTTTCAATTCCAGGTAAGATATCTTTTTTTAATATCTTTTATTTGATTTGTAAAAATAAATAAGTATATGTATATTATTTAATATAAGGTACAAAATGTATCTGTTGAAAGAATCTTAAAAATAAATAATTATTTGCATTAATAAGTCAAAATAGATCATGAAAGCCTTAAACTTTCACTTCTAATATAACTTGCTGAAATCAAATTGATCAAATTGATCAAATTTTACTAAACTCTAAAGAAAAGTTAAACATATCAATGTAAACAAAATGTATTTTTCATAAAATTGGTTTTGTGCACAGTCACGCGACTATTTTTCTATTCTAAACTAGGGTTCCTCCTAACCGTAATTATAACTTCATATTTGAATGTATATCTTGGAAAAGAAAAAAAATATAAATAATTTTTTATATCAAATAAATATCTTGGAGATAATATAAAGTTGGGGGGGGGGTTTGCAGTCACATTTGTTCAATCATTTTTTTGATTATGGGCGTTTTATTTTCAACATTCTTGTTGAACCCCATACCCTAGGTCCACTATGCTGTTAATCACATGATAATGATTCTCACATGACTTTATATGAAACAATCTCGTTATACTGACATTTTTTGCTTGCACATAGTGTCGTTATAATGGGAATGACTCTGAAGGTTCACAAAATGAAACAATAATAAGAATAGAATACCAAGAATAGAATACCAATAATGAACATTCAATTAATTATTATTTTTTAGTTAATATGAATTCAAAATAAAGTTTTCATTGTGTACAGGCATCAACTATGCCATCCTGTCCAGCTAATCTTGATATGATGATTGTAATGACTATGGATGTTATTTGAAGAAATTTGTCATGTTTTAGTGATTGGTGCAGTTGAAGCAGACATTAAAGAAGGTGATGATGATCTACCAGCAGAGCCAGAAGATAATGATACAAAAGATTACGATGATGAAGGAGGAGGTGCCTCTGATTCTGGTAATCAAGAAATGTTTGATGAATTAGCAGCAGACATATCATATAATAGAAGAACCTCAAGAGAAATGTTATATTATAATCAAAATGAAAATAAGGTAAAGTAGAAGCTGGAAAGGAGGAGGGAGATTGGCGAGTCAGAGGGATAAGGTAGTGATTTAGATGAATATGTTGGACATGATACACATTATATAATGTCAGGTTATTAGTATTGCAACTATTATTATATTTATTGAGAGGTTAAAAACTTTAATATTTCTAGAAAATAATTATTTTTAAAAATTTAAAAATAAAATGATCAAGAATTTTTCTTTTCATTGGAAAAAATTTATTGAAAAAAGATTAGATTTAAGAATAGACTTTTTTTGAAAAAACTTATTTATTATGATGTATATTTTTGATTTATTATTATATTTGTTGCCTTTTGCAGGGAATTTTTTCTTGTATCATTCCATCAATCATTGCTGAAAATGATCTTTTTAGTTGTGGAAATCTTGATTCTAATCCACCATTCTTTAATTTTTCAAATTGGTATTTTGCTTCTAAAGCTTTGTGTCTAAAATCAATAGCTTCGAAATCATTTGGTATAATCATATGTTCAATTAAATTTTGAAATAATGCCGGATTTAAATATATATTATCTTTTTATAAATTAAAATATGTAAATATTAATAATTGATATTTCAAATGATAATCATAATTAATTAATTAATTACCAGAATTCATTTTATATAAAGTACTTAAAACCTCCTTGACAATATTTGAATCAAATAATTTAGGATCATCAACTATCATACTAAATACTTGAATAATATGCATCTCAGATCTTTGAATGATAATACATTGAAACCTATCTACTAATACATCTTTCAGATTTTCATTAAGTGTATGTTTTACAAAAGTTTTATCCTATTACCATTATATGAAAATTAGTTATGTGGTAAAAGAAAATGAATTATTTCTTCTTTACTAACCAAATAATTAAATACACTGCTCAATATCTCAATAGCTCTTGCATGATTTATGGATATTTCAGCAAATTTTTGAAACCATTCATCTAATTGTTTATAGTTTCCTAATTGGTTATTTATAAATTCCAATGTTTCTTCTATTATTAATTTCAGATCTTGATATAATCTTTTTTGGAAACCTTGCAAACATATCCGATATATGCTTCTGTTAAATCAAAAAAAGGTTGAGTGATATACTTTATTTGTATGCAATTAATTTGCCCAAACAGCCATATAAAAACCTGTATAATTCTTCATGTGAATATGTGTGTAAAGGTCTTTTAATTTGTGATTCAACTTGTAAGGTATTTTGAATAAAATTTGATAGTTGAGGCCAGAAGGTATTCTCATATGTAAACTTGTTAACTTGAAAAAATTTAAAAACTTTTATGAACATGTTAAAAAAACTTTTTTTTTATTTAAATTAATTAATTGATATATAAACCTGATTCCATTGAAATATTTAGCCCGATATTGAAAATTATTTTGAAATCATCTACTACAGTTGGAGTATATATAATTCAATATCAGTATATCAGTTGATCAACAAATATGCGGATTTTTTATGGTTACCAGTGCTCAAAAGGTACTCTAATTTGCCGTGGTTTTCCGGCAAAAAAATTTTAAATTTCTAGATTTATTCATATATTCCATATCTTTTTCTTGATGAATTCCAGATAGTACATGCTCTATTAGTGCTAAACAATTAACAACAGTGATTAATCATTAAATAAGGACAGCAACACTTCTTTAAAGCCATTAATTTTCTAAAAATTGTTAAAAAATATATTATTTAACAATAAAAAACATTTCCGTTTTTCAAATAAATCGAAATCACATCACCACCAGGTAATTGTAAAAATCTCATTTTTATTTCATAGCATACATAAATGTTTTGTCACTTGTATATCAGTTGATTCATCAATCATTATACCAAATGCTGACATCTCCAAAAGTTCATTTCAAAATTGTTCTTCAAGAGTTTTGAAATAGCCATTAGCATTTTATGATCTGAAATTTTGGATATGTAACCAATCCTTCAGTAATATCAATTACACTTAATTTACTAATTGTAAGTTTTCTTAAAGGAATGTCATTTTTTGATAAAAAATATATACAATTCTCATGACAGAAATTATGTTTAAAAATTTTATCATGAAAATTATCCATTTTTTCTGCCTCGTAATACACAGAATTATATGTACTAATAATAATGCTGAGACATGAGAAATATTTGTAGAACCTATATAAATATTATAACATTCAACTCGGAAGAATTATTTAAAATATGTCTTAGACTGCCAGAATTATAAAATTGATTGATTTAGTAATATACCAGTGGTTACTTTGGTCAACAAATTGGAATAAATTCATAATTAAAAAAAACTTTTTTGTTGACATTGTTACATGAAACTGGCAATTCAGTAATTTTTTCAAAGCTGTCGGGAATCTACCAATTTCACCACAAAATTTTGTGCACTGATGGTTACCCTTTTTTCTAAAAAAGCAACCGGTGTAATGAAGGTTTTTAGTATAGGCACTTATAGAACACTGCCATTTCATATAGTTTTTTAGAATTGTAATAAAGCAATGTATAGAAATTTTTATTGTATTTCAAATGAGTTTTTTACATCACTGGCATTTTTATAGCCATTAAATCTCAACCCGATAAACCAGGCACTTGGTAAGTTGGATTCGGACAAAAATTTACAGCCCTTTAAAAATTTTTGATAAATCGGACAACATATGGGGTGTGGACAATAGAAACGAACCATGTTGTGAAAAAAGCAATTTTGAGTTAGTATCACTATTATATGTAATTCCTCATGTAGAACATTTTTAGCTTAGAAACCATACCCACTTTGCTTAATAAAACTTTGAGATACCCTCCATTAAAGTTTTAAAAACAATAGTAAATTACTTGAAATGCAGATCTTTTTTTTAAATTTTCTCAAAACATCATTTTCACAACATGGTCCGTTTCTATTGTCCAGACCCCATATATCTTGTTAAGCCACAAGTCAAACAACCTTGGCCAGATACAGTCAAACCTCAATAAACTGAACTTTTGGGAATCACAAAAATAGTATCGGTTTATCTTATGACTTTTATTAATTGTTCAAAATAAATTTGTCTTACAACGTTATAAAATATAAATTTACAAAATTATTCTAAACAAAAATATTTATCTAAAGATTGTTGCGTCGAACTATTAATCTTATGACTTAATAATTTTTTTCTAAGGGTATGAATGCACTTTAATTCATCTTTGCATACATCGAAATACTTAAAGGGTATACTAAAAAATTAATAAATTTCATTATGGTATCTGTAATAGAAATTTCTGGAATAAAGGTTGAATTAATGCAATAATATCATTACTAAATCACCTGCAACCATGTTATTCTCAATATTTAAATACTTATCCTCTAAAAGTGAATCATCAAATGGGAGTTAGTTAATTAAATCTTGAACTTCATGATTTTCTCGTTCAACATTATCAACTTCAATACTATTCAATAATTCTAATTTTCGTGCTTTTTTATTAGAACATGACATGGTTAAAGTAGAATTTTATAGAATTTTAAAACCAGTTTATGGTCATACTCAGCTTAGAAAGTTACATTTTTATTATTTTGTACAAACCATTAAGTTCGGGTTTATCAAGTAAAGTAGAAATTATAATAAAATTCGGACTTAACGAAATAGTTTTTATCAAATTAGTCAAATGATATGTCACAGGAAGTAATTACATATATACAATAAAAAACACATAATAATAGTAGTAATAGAAGACACCGAATACTTACATTTTTTTATCTACATAATTTATATATATAACTTTTAATAATGTTAGTTGAATCACCTTTAAATCTAAATCATTAGTATTTATTTAATTAGTTATTAGTAAGGTTGCTTGCCGAAACCTTTTAATGACTGCCGAAACTCTGCCGAAATTCTAATAAACAATTAGTGTGTAACCTGCTGAAACTCTGCTAATTGTCAAAATCCCTAAATGCGAAACTCTGCCGAAACTCTAACAAACAATTAGTATTTATTTAATTAATTATTTAAATCATTGGCTAAATTTTTAATGGTGCAAGTCACCTAGTCCCTCAACGTACTGCGCCTCGTGGCCAATTTTGGGAAAAATCATCAAATCTCAGTAGAGCTTGGATCCGGATAGTAAAATCCTTAGGATATCCGCGGATATCCAGATAGAGATTTGATGAACGGATCCAAGCTCTACTGAGATTTGATGAACGGATAGGATATCTGGATGAGAGATTTTGATAAACGGATATCCGGATATCTGTAATAGTCGTGTGACATGTCCTAAAAATCAAGGGGCAAGTTTATTTTCCGAAAAATTTCCGGTGATCTACACAATTTTTT